CGTTGGGAAAAAATTTTCGTCGAATGAAGAGGTGATCGCCGAAACTGAGGCCTATTTTGAAGCAAAGGACAAATCGTACTACAAAAATGGTATCGAAAAGTTGGAGGATCGCTATAATCAGTGTATCACCCTTGAAGGGAATTATGTTGAATAAAAAAAACGAATTTTGCAAAAAAAATGTGTTTTACTATTTTAGGCCGGGGACTTGTCAATTGACCTGTTACTTTTTTCTTCTCCGAAGCAACCCTTCTCATAGTTGACAAACTTACTCCGGTTGCTGCCGCTACACGTTCTTTTTTTTCAAGTGGTGGAATAAAATCTTTTTGTTCTTTTTCAGCGTTCATGAATTGTAGTACATTTGCTACGAGTTCTTTACACTGAATACTTAACGCTTGTTTTCGTTTTCTATTGTTTTCCATGGCAGTTCAAATTTTGCAAATGGTACTGTACACTTTGGTCTAGTTCTCGCTCGATGATCGTGGAGAAATGAACTCCGTAAGCAAATATGATTGAATTTGGAATTATGTTACGGCGCATCCTGATAAAGGGAAGAAGCATATCTCTAACTAATTGAAATGAACTGTACTTACAAATTTGGAACTTCGCATTCAACTCCGTTGTTCGATGTTGGAGATTTCGTCAACATTCTGTTGACTTAGTATTACCGATAAACTTTATTATATATGTAAATTTCCTGGTTAGTTTAGTTCATAGTTACATTATATGAATGTAGGACTTATGTATGAGTTAGGAAGAAGGAAGCAGACGATGCCGATCGAAAAAGAAGAAGAGCCGGTTATAAGAGATTCGTGTTGTTCATATTTGTTACATATTATAACAAATGTTCTATTATGTATAGATCTCTCATTCCCTACAAATCCATGACAGCATAGTCACCTCTTATCGTCCATCTTAACAAATTGCGCGCATTGGCGGACGCCCCGTCTGAAAATTAGTTAGTGGATTGAATCCGATGCGGATCAGAATTGCCTGAAGATTGATCAGAAATAAATCAGTTTTTCTGATCCGAGTATGATGGAAAATCGTCACGCCATATGTGATCAACACAGGATCCATTTGAAAAATCCATGTCGGATCTGTTTCAAAGATCCCATTCAACAGATCCATTGCCGATCCAGCCAAAAGATCCATACCGGACCCGTTTAAAGGATCAGGATTATTATCATTTCTTAGTAATTTTTTAATTTGTCTTAAAAGACTTTCAAAGGGAAATGCTGTAAATTTACTAATTGGAGCATTTAAATATTTTGCAGGAAAAAATTCAAGTTAAGTAAATGCACCATTATGACAATCACAATCAAAATAATAATTTGAATAAACAAACTATTTGCTAATTAGTCATAACATTACTAATAATTATTATTAATGTATTATTAATTTATTGTTAATTATTATTATTAATTAACAATAAATTTGTTCATTGTTTGACGAACAATATTGCATACAGAATAAATCAGGTAAAAAATAAAGTTCTGTATTATGATCCAGTTCAGAACATCGGATACAATCTTGATTTAAAGATTGTACCGAAACCGTAATAGAATTTGTAGCATTAGATTGTGATAAGAAATTGGTCAAATGACTGGATTAAGGGATAGGATACTCTACTATGATCAATTTCTGATCAGATGGTTGGATCAACAGAGTACTGTGTGCTGATCAATTTCTGATCGGATGACCAGATCAAGGAATGCAGTACTGTACTCTGATCAGAAACTGATCAGATCGGTGGGTCAACGGATAAAGTTGTGGCGATATTGTCTTTCGCATTTTGGTTAAATTTTGTACATATTTTTGGTGTTCGTGTAATGTTAAATTTGGTATTTATGTATATATGTTTCTTTTGTAAATAATCCTTTTCAATATGCTCATGTTAACTTCCCAATTCTGGTTATTCGCTAATATGAATATTCTTACAACAACATTTCTACCTTTTGTTCTTTTATTACTATTCTATACTCTAAAGTAATTTCTTTTGTTCACTTTTTTGTATACTTCACTAAACCTGTACTTTCCAATAATCCTTTTCAATATGCTCAGGTAAACTTCCCAAGTCTGATTACTCGCTAATATGTATATCCTTACGACAACATTCCTACCTTTTGTTCTTTCTATACTCTAAAGTAATTTCTTTTGTTCACATTTCTATACTTCACTAAACCTGTATTTTCCAATAATCCCTAATAACATTTCAGTTTCAGTTGCTAACCGCATGACATCTAATATTATTACTCCTTCTTAATTACATTTTGATGATGGGTTACTTTGGTATTTTTGGGTCTATGTCCTTTCGCTGTATTTCTAAGTAAAAACTATTCCAGATTTCACCAACCTTTGGTTGGTTCCCTACCTTAGTTTAACCAGTTCTAGATCCTCTCTTATTTTTCTTTCTAACAATTAACTCCTCCTTTTAAGTCTTGCTAATACTTAGTCTTCAAGAGTATAGTTAGTTCCTCTGCAGTTCTACAACTATAAACTAGAACCGTAATCAACCTGTCAACCTGAGCGAATATTTTATGAAAGTATATCCTTATAGTTATTTGTGCATTTTATTAAATAACACTTCTCATTAATAAACGCCAAAGAGTACTGTACTCTGGTCAGAAACTGATCAGATCGGTGGATCAACGGATAGAGTACTGTACTCTGATCAGAAACTGATCAGATGCCCGTATTACGGAAAATCTGATCCGCATCTGATCATAATCCGGTTTCTCTGAACTAATTTCCAGTCGGGGCCCCAGGCCAGAACCAGACTTACGTACCGTTCAGTACTGGTTTTCTCTCGAACATCCAGAATATGATACTGCTTTTTAGATCAACATTCTCGAATGATCGATCAGGATATATGTTTACAATAAATATTCTTGTATTCTAGGGAAAGAATTTTCATAAACAGCCAGGAAAGCCGAATATAACAGCATACACAATATAATAATCACTAATAAGTAATTTTTAATTTGTAAACAATTAATTTTCTATCCTCAATAGATTTCCTCAAATTAATGAAGAAAAATTGATGCTGCTGTCACGCCCTCACCGGGAATCGAACGCAATAGACAGCATCACGTGTCAATGCCCTGACCTAACAAGTAATACAATAAATTTGTCCTTTTGTTGTTAGCCAAATACTAGACACCAACAAAAAAAAAATTGTTGCGATTTTTACACTGTTTTTATTGCATTTATCAAAAGTACACGTTTATAGCATATTTTTAAAATATTTCAACGTCAACGTCAACTCGATATTGAATATTAAGATCAGTATTTCATGCAAATATATACAGTACCTGCATATATTACAAAATTAAAGCACGGTTAACTTTAATGATTATTTCATAAATTTCGATTCATTATTTTCACTAAATGTGGTATATTAAGAACCATTGAAGAATGATCCAATTATTGTACAATTTACTCTTTTAAGATTTTGAAGTCCGAGGTAATGAAGTCGAGGTATACATCAATAGAAAGTTTCATTACTTACCATGTTGAAGGGTTGCCATGTTGTAAACAAACTCATCTGTTGAATGACCTCTTCAAAAGGGCCGTATACGGTGTTCTCAATCAGGTGCTGAAAATATTTCAAAATGTCATGTACAGCCCATTGAAAAAATATAGAATGGATAATAACTGAGGTCACATTTTTTGGATGCTTTATGTAGATTTCTTATATGTAAACAGCTAGTCACTCAACTAGGAAAAGCTGAACTCTTAGCGTAAAAATTTTGAAAAAAAATATAAATTTAATGAATCAATTCAAACTACTACACCTAATAGACAGTACAATAAATATAGAAATCCGTAAAAATATTTTTTCACACATAAACATTATCATCTCGTCTTCTGCTTCTATAAAAGACAATCCAAATTGGTAGTAGTCGCATTACAACCGTAGGTATGTGTTTTCGAGAATTAGTTTATAGTGAAGAAGTGAAACAGAAGTCAAAGATTTTGTGCGTCGTATTTTTATAGAAGATTACCAATTACCAATCTATTTTACACTTGTAGGTACGCTTGTAGGTACTAAATAAATCTGCATCTTTCATGTTTACATTTTCGAAATACTATTCATAACACAGTGCTTGTTATTTTGTCAAGCCAATTTTTATTTATTTGCTCCGTTTTTCTGATAGATCAATCTTAGTTAGGTTAGGTTATAGTTGGTTCCTAACCATCAAGGAATAAAAGACAAAAACTAAATAAGAATGTTATATTTATTATTTCAATGAGAGATTTAGCACTGCGTCTTTCGCGCAGGGTTTCCATTTACTCACGTTTGTTACATTTTGCTTTGAATGGTTTTACTTTTGAGTTGAGTTAGAAAAGTTAAGAATCTTCAGAACTTTCAGATAATATTGACCTATATTCCTCAACAGTTAGGAGTCTAAAACAAGTGTTCAAAATAAACGTAAAAAAGTAGTTTAAAACACAATTTTAAAACGTTTTGAACTTTTTGTTTCACAAATTTCACCTATTTTCCACGTAATTTGTGTAGTTCGAAATAATTTATCAACACTGACTTTTATTACTATTGTTTCGGGGTTTGGCGTGTTTAGATCTCAGAAAGCACGGGTGATTTCTTGGATTTTTCTATTTAATTACAGATACTGTTTATTCCTCAAAGGGAAAATTCCCAAAAAAAAAAACATTCATTGCGCGTCGCGATCGGTGACATCTACCGTTTCCAGAGAGCGACGCTTTCGTTCAGTTAGCAGTGACAGAGGATGCGGATAAACTTTTCATTTCCTCGTCACAGAAGCGACAGAAATAGTTAATAGTTAATCAATCCCACTTTAATCTTATGATATAGCAATTCTCCGTGACCTGTAAAGATTTCCACAAGAGTTCTGACTTTGCTCTTCCCAGTCTCTGCAGTTTGTATAACTAGTTCAAAATCTATTGAGTCATTGCATGTGAGAGAGGTGAACATACGAGAGCATGTGCCTCGCTATTCAATCAGGGATAGAGCTCTAGAAAAGCTATACACAGTGACGGCCACTGTTTCTAAGAGGTACAAATGTAGAAATCAATGTACGGATGAAGTTTTGTAACTACCGATTTGGTATACGATGTCATTCATTTTAGTGGAGATTATATAGTTAAAGTAGGCAAAACCCATGTTCCCCTACAAGTTACGGTGAACCGTGAGATGAGAAACAGTGGGACCCTCTCTATCTCTGTTTAATAGTGCTTCTGATTGTCCAGCAACAATTTTTGCGGTTGATTCCGCAAAATGACGAACTTCCGCAGTGCTGTCAACCTTTCTTCTATGCTAAGGTTACAGTATTTAAGTTAGCAGTATAGTAATATTTGAAGCCAATTTTAGGGAGGGTGTCATAAACTATACATTCACCAAAAAAACAAAAAGCTACAGATGCGGTACCTTTTTGTTTCTTTCTTTTTAAGAAGCACATTTCCGATCAGGTTGCCTGCTCTTATTCTCAGATGCATCGTTTTTTGATTTTTATCAACTACTCTTAAAGCCGCCTTGAAAGTCGCAGTCATAAATCAAACAACAAACAAAACCTGCCCGACATAGGAACGTACGAGAAGTTTCCGGAAATTTTCAGGAACATTCCTTGACAGTGTAAATAACCAATCAGCCACAACAGAATAGTCGATAAAGACAGCTGATATAAATCGTAGACGAATGAAAATGGTAGACAGTGGTGTAAAAAAATAAAGCTCTCATTAACTTGACTAGTCATGTTAGAATTCTTTAAATAAGTGTAACAATTGGTTCGACTGATGAAAAGTGCCCTTTGTGATGAAATTTACAGATTTATCGATTTTTTTGCTATTAATATTTACACAGCGAAGAAATGTTAACAATCGAGTCAATATTAAAATCTTATTCATTTAGTACAACATTTGAAGATAAGAAAATACCACAAACGGCGCGGTGAACGCCATCTGTAGTACGATGCAATATTTTAGGATTACGTATGCTCCAACAAGGTCTATTTAAAAAAATATGGATATCTACTTGCTGAAACGAATCCCGGCGTAGCTCACCTCAACGTGATAGGCACGTTACCATAATCGAATAAAATAATTCGAAGTGGTCTGTATTCTGTCGAAACTGCCAGACGCGGATCGCGATTTCGATCTTTTTGGATCTCATCAGCGC